GGTAGTGTCATAGGTCCACTATTTTTCATTTTGTACATACAAAATGATCTTCCAGAGGCAACTAAGAATTCTACTGTTGCACTTTTTGCTGACGACAGTAAATGTTGCCGCGCAATTCAGTCACCAGCCGATCGCGATCTCCTACAGACTGATCTTGACTCTATGCACAACTGGTCGATCTCTTGGCAATTGAAATTTAATGTATTTAAGACGCTCTTGCTCAGGATATCTCGGAAACGCAACTCTCCAACTCACTCTTACCGCCTTAACAATCAACCTATTAAGTTTGTAGCCAAACAAGTCGACCTGGGTGTGGTTGTGAGCAATGACCTTAAGTGGTCCCCTCACATTGCCAGCTGTACTGCTAAAGCCAACCGTTTGCTTGGTTTTCTTCGGAGAAATTGTTCTCAAATGACTGATACTCGCTGCCGTCGGCTTCTCTATCTCTCTCTTGTCCGATCTCACCTGTCTTACGCCAGTGAGATCTGGGCACCTCAAGCCTCGTCACGCGATCTTGCGATCCTGGAGGGTGTTCAGAGACGAGCTACTAAATTTATACTTCAAAATTATGAGTTGTCTTATCTTGAGCGTCTTAGGAAACTTAATTTATTGCCTATATCTTACTGGCTTGAAATAAAGGATCTCATCTTTTTTTTCCAATATATCTACTCTTTTGTCACCTTTTCTTCTAATCGCTCATCTCGTACCCGTTCAAGCAAGGACAACTTGCTTCATGTCAATCCGTGCAAAACCTCTCTTTTTAGAAACTCTTTTTTTAACCGAATTGTCTTTCTATGGAACAATCTCTCTCCAATCATTCGTAACAGTTCGTCTGTTTCATCCTTTAAGTTCCAGCTCCATTCTCACTACTCCTCTCAATTAGACTCTTCTTTCGATGTTAACAGAATGCGAACTTGGAAAACCTACTGCTCTAAATGCCGTTCTTTCAACTTAAGCTGTTGCTCATAATCTAAACTATTAATTTTTATATAGATATGTAAATAGTGTTCTAGTCCTTGTCTTTAATGTATGTCTACTTATATCACATTTGTGTCGGTTTTCTTTGATCGTCTGAGGTCTATAACTAGCTGATATACCTTGAATAAATGATTCGATTAAACTTGTAGACAAAACGCAAGAATTTTTCACTAAAAATTTTTGAAAATGACAAAATATGTTAGAAAACCTCCACAAATGTGATATAAGTTAGTTATAAACCTCAAAAGTCGGTTTATAACTGATATATTGCCCTCGGACGCTACGCGTCCTCGGGGGCAATATATCAGTTATAAACCTCCTTCTCGGTTTATAACTCTAACTTATTGTATTGTATCAGGCTGGTCTCTACATGGGACTCGATCATGTCCTGTTGACCATACCTTCAATCATTGTTATATTTTTTGTATGATTGTAAAGTTAATAAATAAATAAATTATAAAACAATATTTTAATGGTGACCTTGTTTACATGATATGTCTACTGACAGTCTACGAAATTAGAAAAGTCGTGCGCCTGTGGAGGTTCCGTTGAACTTAGCCTTCAGCCTCCTGCATATAGCCTATATAAGCGTAAAAAATTTGGAAGTATAGAAGAAACAGAATAGCATGTTAAAATCTTACGAGTTTAAAGCTTTCAACTGTCTTGGTGACCTAATAGCTTTAGTTCTACCTGATTCGTTCCCGGTTCGTTGTTGTTGCACCAACAAAAATACATAAATTCATAAAAACTAAGTCCAGAGTACAACACAGCATGAAAAACACAGTACAATTCGGTGAAAATTTAGCGAAATTGCCAGAAATATTATTTTGCCCATTCATCACGCAACCGCCATTTTGAAACTGAACTATATAGGTCACTGAAGCATACTTGCAAAATCACCCATTATATCCATAAAATACACCGATGTACCTGTGAAATGTTCATTTTGTGACATCCTAAAGACAGACAATTAGCATTTTAAAGCTCCCTCGGGCTACGCCCGACGGAGCAACAATGCGATGTTTACATCCTGGCACCCGGGAAACGTCGGAAATTCATAGGTCAAATTACCCCTTCATGTTGCGTGATTTGTACGTGCATCGGAGCTATGGTAGCTCATTACTGGCCAATTTTAGCGTGTGGCACGCGCGTGCGAGTAACAATCCGATATTCTGAAAAATTCAAAATAAATATTTCTAGTCCACCGTATTCAAACGAAACTTTCTACACGAAAGCGCCTGAATACAAGGGGTATTTCACTCCTTATTGACTTAGTCTGAAGAGTTCAGAAGCTATTCAATTTTTTCTCCATATGAAGTACAGAATGTTTGGCCAAGCGGTGAGTAAATATACGATTGTTTTGGTTTGTGTAATGCTACGATGGCATTTGACCCACTGTTCGAAAGGTTATTTTATGAGGATTTCAACGGTGGTTTTCGTTTTAAAGAGCGGGTAAATACTTGCCGAGATATTTTAATCTTCCCCACCCCAAAGTCGGAAATGTAAATATAAACTGGACGGCATTGACATTCTTTGTTTTTGATCCAGTAGACACCATGCACGCTACTGCGTACCTATTTTTTAATTATACTCTTTGAGTTCATTTACAGCGGTTTGTGCAACATTTTCTGTGGCCTATGCTGTGTGTTGCTCGTTACATATATAAAGAAGTAAAAGGCTCATCATTGGACCCCCCCCCCCTGCATCGCCTTTATAGTCAAATATCTCCGCTCAAACTTGTCGTTAATACATATTGACAATACCGCCTTACGCGGGATGGGACAGCATCAAATTTGACGATAATTTGTCGCTTTCATGCTGTCCTACCCCACGTAAGGCGGTATTGTCAATATGTATTGATTACGTCAGGACCACGATCGTCTCCGAGCAGTTCAATAAGTATTATGAAAATAGCCGAAATTGAGGAGATTTTGGCTCCGTTCGTCGCTAAATTTGCCCAAGCTATGATAAATCTGTTCAAGCTATGATAAATCTGTTCTTTAGAAAGAGAAACCTTTGTGAAAAGATGTGATTTGAATTTGTTTTGCCGTAGGACAAGTTTGAGCGGAGATATTTGACTTTGAAGGCGATGCGGTCGGGCCGCCAATGATAAGCCTTCTGCTTCCTTATTTTTGTAACGAGCAACACACAACATAGGCCACAGAAAATGTTCCATAAACCGCTCTAAAAGAGCTCATGGAGTAATTAAAAGAATGCAAAGGTACTATACTATCATGTCAACAATATTTTATTGTTAAAGTGTAGTTATTTGACAAATTTAAATAATAGTTTTGGTTGAGTATTTGAATAGTTTTGGTTGAGTATTTGTTTGTAAAAGTCGTTAAAAAACCCGCAACACCTGAACATTCACTCTGCGATTGGGCCGCTGTGGTCATGGGAGTCAAGTATAGCAGTCCGCAATTAAGGATTACAGCACTCTTGGAGTGCATTATCGGGATTTACAAGCACGAGTTCACGAACAAGAAACAAGAAATTTAACACTGCACGAGGCGCAGCAGAAATATAATATTTTTTTTCTTAACATGTATTATATGGACTTGTTTTTCATGCATTTCCATATTTAGTATTTTTGTTGCATGCCATATATGTCACCCAACTTGAAACTTGCGGCGCGCAGATCACGTGGAACGCAGGGGAAGCGGAACAGGGGGGGATAGGGGGGCTAAAGCCCCCCCAGAAATAAAAGTGGGGGGGCTTAGCCCCCCCAGAAAATTTGAATTTTTTGAAAAAAAATTTGATAATTAGGGAAAAATTTAGGTTATTTTTTGAAAATTTAGGTATAAGGGGACAAATTTGCAATATTTTGTTTAAAAAAAGTGTATTTCCGAAAAAAAATTTTGATATAAGTCCGAAAAAATTTTTTTCGTCCCTTTTTTTGTATATTGTACCCCTAAAGTGTTACACTGGGGGGGGGGGTCGCCGAAAAAATTTAGCCCCCCAGAACGAAATCTGTTCCGCCGCCGCTGGTGGAACGTGAGGTGATACGTCAAATACGACAAATACCGAGTTATACCGACCGGCATTTACGAGCATAATAAGCATAATTATAAATTTTGAATCATGTCTATGGTTTTCGTCGAGCAACGGTAAGCAAAATGTTGATTGTTGTTGACTACGTTAGTGCATGGAGGTTGAGGGTACGTTGAACTCGAGGTACTGACGTCATATGATGAAGTGGAAGTGAACCGTTGACGGCTTCGCATTTGATGGTTGGTAGAAGGTTGATGTCATGCCGAACGTAGTGGTTATTGACGAGTCGGACGAAAATTACTGTGCCAAACGGTTTCAGAAAAAGCAACATTTTTGGAATAGGTGGCGTAGGGAGTATCTTGCTGATTTGAGAGAATTCCATAAAGGGATCGGAAGCGAGAAAATAGTAAAAGAGTTGTTGAGAAGGATGAAGTTGAGATGTGGTGAGAGGTGCTAAGGTCAGGTTGACGGCGCGAAAAGGAAAGTTGGTCTTTCTCAGTCGTCCTGTCCAAAAACTCTTTCCTACCGAAGTGAAGCACAGCAAAGGGAACAAAGAAAGTGAAAAAAGTAAAGAGAGTGAAGAAAGAGAAATAAGTGAGAGACGAGATCATGGGCGTCAATCCTGGGGGGGATGAGAGGGGGACTCGTCCCCCCAGTTTTTGGAGTGGGGGGGACTAATTACCCCCCCCCCCCACACACACACTTTTTGACATGTTTAAAGAAATATTTTTTCTTGGTTATCTAAATTAATGCAATGTATGATGTTCATCAAAAATTGTGATTGAAAGGAAGACATTTAATAAGAAGAAGTACAACATATGATCTTTCTGTAGTCCCTGGGAGCAAATATTATGTAAAATTGTAAATACTTAAAAAGAATTGCGTTTTAACGGAGTTTCCCTTACATAGATGATTATCATCAAAATAAGGCAAATGGTTAATTTAATAAATTTTTAGCATTAAAAGTAGCCATCAGACTTGCTGCAAGTTTTTCTATCAGATTTGCCAAAACTTGATATCCACAGATTTGGTGCAAGTTGATGAAACACCTTGCATCAAGTCTGCAAAGACAACTTGCAGAAGCTGATTTTCTTAACTTGCATCAACATTGATGCGTTCATCAGACTTGCTGCAAGTTGTTCTATCAGATTTGCTGCAAATTGACATTTGCAGACTTACTTGAATCAAGTCTGCTAATGTCTACTTGCAGCAAGCCTGATTTCAACAGGCTTGCTGCAAGTTGATGACGTCAACAAACCTGCTGCAACTTGTTGACAACTTGCAGCAGGCCGGTAAAATCCGTAACTTGCAACAAGTCTTTGGCGTTTCTGGCTGGGTAACCATACATACGTCCAAATACGCACAAAATTTTTAAGCATGCTTAACAAAAGTTTCTGCCTCGCCGTATTCCAACGTATGCCAGCGTATGAGACCGTGCTTGAACGTATACAACCTATATCCCAACGTACCCCTAACGTATGTCAGCGTTTTCCAGCGTATCGGTGATATTTTTCAAAGCTGGCATACGCTAGTACGATACGCAATAGTGTACGCAACAGGGCCTTAAAGGACTTGCAAGGTTACATCAGGTGGAATTGATTGCAAACTAATCAATTTTAATATCAGTTTCGACGGCAGTAAAAAAGTTCTGTATCCTATGCGTGCAGACATTCTTGCGGGAAATGTGTTTATCTTAATTAATCTTAATATTTGTACATGGATGGAATTGCAAATACACATTATTATGTAAGAAAATACCAAAGTTCAATATTCCTGAAAGGCTAAAATCGATCCATATAATTAATTAACAGCTGCATGCATTCAACTTTACAAAATAACAACTTCAAGCATGCAACTGCAAGTTAGGCGAAACCGAACAGGTGGGAAAATTGACTGAGCATGCGCGAAAAATGCTCGGGTTTTCAGCGGGAGAAGAAGCTATGCGTGCTTCCACTTGGTTGATTTAAAAAACATCAACAACATGAACGAAGCCTTCAAAAGACAATTTTGCAGCGACTGTTTAGGCCCACAAATCACCAAAATTTACTGACAAAAAATATTGCAGTAAACCTTTATTTCCTCTATTACCACATATATATGTTTTACGATGTAAACTATTAATATCGATTATTTCAGTGTAAAACAAAATAGAACAAAAAAATTTCCTTTTAAAATGTCGTCTGATAGCTTCAATAAAATGCGAAATTCAAACCAAAAATACTAAAACTTCTTCATTTTTTACAAAGCCAAAAAATTTAATACCCACTTTCAAATGCTTTGAAATTTAATGTAAAACAGCGATATTTCGTTGGCACAACATGTAATTACATGACAAAATTTGTGTTTATAGAATTTTGAACGAGTGAAAATTGTGTTTAAAAATAATACAAAGTTTGCGCTTCGGAATGAGAGTCATAGAAAAATCTGATTGCTATGTTTATCTCTTTTTTAAATACTTTGAAAACCTGAAAATAATATTTTAAAACTATTATAGCAAAATACATGGTAAAATGTTTATTCTGATGCTCATTTTCCGAGTCGCCTTTTTCGTACAAATCACACTTGCATATGAAGTTTGCCAAAATTTAGTACTTTCTTCATCTTTTAGGCGAGTTTTCATTCTATTACCAAAAACTAGAAAGAAAAACTCATCTTCTGACCTAATCACATTTCATTGATACAACTTGTATATATGAGAAAATTAAGGTAAAAAACAAGCAATTTTAGCAAAATACCTCACATGCTGAAATTTGACGATAATCGTACGTTGGCGTACCATATCACTCAAAAAAACAAATATTTATACTTTGTCCTGGACAACAAACGCATGTACTAAAAATTTTAAGTTATACTCCATCAATATTAAGTTTCTGCTCGAGGTTATTTGCCATCAAAAACACACATTTTGCAAGAAACGTCATTTTTGGCCATGTTTCAGAGAAGAATTCTTGATTGCTAATTTCCCGATTGCGACAAATAATTGTGGTCGATCTTGATTAACGTTTATTAACGTTTACGTCTGCTAGCTTTCTTTCACTTTTCCACTGCTGCAGTACGAGAAACAGGGTGGCGAAATCTGTATTTTTGTTGTTTTCACAATTTTTGCAGGCAAAAAGAAAGTGTCAGCGATAAATTTGGTCAGCGACGACAATTTTCCCACCTGTTGCGAAACCGAAGAAAAGCCAAAAGAAAATATTCCTTTTGCATGGGGACCGTACGAACATAAGTGGCATAGTGAAGTCCAAAAACACATTCAATGATGGACTATTGCACATGTTAATGTAAAATATGGAAATAACAATGCTCCCAGTGGAGGACTTTGAATAGGCAATTCCAGCTTTTAACTTGTACTTATGCGCGCAGGAAGTGATGAGAAGTAAGGTATCATGTTGCTGATTATGCTGACAAATTTCAATATAAACTACCGAAACAACCGAAATATTTCAATATTTACAAGTATAAGCTATCAATCCGTGTTTACACGCTCACTATTGTTATTTTTTCAGTATAGTCAGCAACATGATACCTTACTTCCCATCACCCCCTGCACGCATAAACTAAAAGCTGGAATTGCCTATCGGGAAAATACATTGGAAAAAAATAGTGAAATTTATACTATGAAATTTGCGATTGCATCACTAAATCCATGTTATATACCCATAATATTTTCATATTATATTCATAGTATGGAATTAATTGCAATTAGTATGAAAATTGGATTTCCATACTATTTTCAGCTAAGATTCATACTATTTCCATAGTAAAGATTTTGAAAAGATTTCCAGTGATCATGCTAATTGTTTTCATTTTCATGTAGTCAATGTATTTAGTGATAATAAATTAATCAGGAACAATTGCTCTTTATACCGGCTAAGAAATAAGAGTAAACGCAGACAGTTTATTGTGTCGGAGAATGGGTTATGGCGGTGAAGTACTCCTGATACAATAGTGTAGTTATATTAAGTATATTTAACCCAATAGACTCTTTATGGCAATATATTTATTTTGCGCGGTATGCATGTACAAGGCCCGCTCTTAAAAACCCTAGGTGTAAGGGTCCCTAGGGCTGCCCTGGTGGTAAAGGTTCTCAGAGCACATGCCAGAAGGGTAGCGATCCCCTCTGATATTATTAATCTGAACCAAGGAGTATGAGTTTCTCTTGCATGGACAGCTCCTGATCCAAACACAAGTTTCGACCAATCAGAGCATGCGTTATATACATGTTATTTTATAAACGTATATACGTCTAGTATCCAGATCTTATGCACGGTCTCGTTCTAATATACACAAACTAATTGCTAAGACAATATTACGTAACGAATTGACATAGGCGTACCGGGCGGGGGGGGGTTTTTTGGGCAGTCGGGCAATATTCGATCAACAGTCGGGCAATTTTGGTTCCCAATTAAAAAAAATGGGACAAATTCTGTCAATTTTGTCTAAAATTAAATAAATTTTTTGGCAAATTTTGTGATTTTTGGAAAATTTGTGTTATGTTCCGAAAAATATTGGTTGTCCGGAAAATTTGCACGACTGGACCGCGTATGAGCGTATCCGCGTATTATTTTAGTGGCCCACTAAAATATAGAGCTACCTATAGCATGACAATTTGATCTATTAATGACTAACTGCACGATTGTTCTCCAAATAACGACTTGACTGCGTATATCCACGTATCCGCGTATCCACTAAAATATAGATCTACCTTTAACCCTATGACAATTTAAATTAATCTATTAATGCTAAGTCGCTGTATGCCTCGTAGCTACTTAAGTTTACCACCATGGGATTTTAATCTATCAATCTATTTATTATTAATCTATTGAAAATAAATATAGGGGTATTAATAGATCGTGTTTGAAAGGCATACTGTATATATTATAAAATGGATGGGTATTCTGGAATCGCTCCGGAAGATATCAGAAGTTGCAATTTTTGTTCTGAATTATGGAATTAAAAACAATGAAGCTCACAAAGAGTTACAAAAGCAAAGAAAAGAGTTACAAAAGCAACGAAAAGCAAGTGGGAATGGCGAAAAAAAACTTAATAAAATATGTCAAATGTCATCACCACACAAGATATGAAGTCACAATGTGTTCTGCTCACATTTTGGCATCTCAACCAAGCAATACAATGTTTTTAAATCACCAATTGGGCGCGCAAAACACACTGGGAAGCGCATCTAATAAGAAGAGTAGGCCCTATCCGCTGAATGTTTTGTTTAAGGGTGCGTGTTAACGATGTGTCCGACTATCAATGAGGAGTCCGACTATCAATGAGGAGTCCGACTGTAAATGGAAAAAAAATTGCTTGGGCGATCGCATACTATGTTGGGAGGAGGGTAAGGAAAATGGGCCCTTTGGCAGCTTTCCCCACCATTGAAGAATCCTTAAAAACGAAGATGTTAAATGGTTATACGATTTTATACATTCAGACGGATTATTTTCCTTTTTCTATGACCCACATCCGTGGGTACCAGGTATGGATCTTTAAAAATGTCAATAACACTTATGTGCAGTAAACAGGGTGACATTTCGGGCTTCGAAATAATAACCAGTACTTTTCACCTTGTTTACAATTTCTAAAACCACACTAAATTAATTAAACACGACGAATACGTCATTACAAGTCCGTGAAATCGCGAAGTATCTTGTTAAAAGTAATCAGCATGGATCATATGCTATCATTTCTACACATAAAGGAAAGGATGAAACTTCGAATGATGACCTAAAATCCTTGATGGCACATTACTTGTATCGCCAATATATCAAGGAATATGCTCAAGAAGGAGTCGTACGTCAATTTTCAGGATCATCTGTATGTCCCAGAAATTGACACGACTACTGGAGAGTATTTCCACAAGAGAGAAGACCACAACCATGTATTAAAACGAATTACAGCACGTACCAGAGATGGATCCATTCCAAATGTGTATTTACGTGCATTTGTAGAGTGCTTACATTCCCCAAACAGTGGTCTCACATATACAGCCCGTACAGGACAGCATAAGCAAGCTGTGCCGGATTGCGAGAAGATGTTCTCTCGTGGAGTAGCTAGTGGAATTTTTTGAAGAAAACAATTTTCCAGAGGAAGCAAGGTTTGTAAGCTTGGTTTGCAACTGGCACACGGCTAATGATGGTCGTGGCTTAACGGAAGAAACCAGGCGCCTATACAATCTTGCTATGCTGGATTTCATCCTTGAAGACTGGATGCCATGGTATTGGTTCAATAGAGATAAGTAATCTAGTAGTTATTAATTTTATACTAAAATTTGCCTTAGCTGCAATACTTAGGGTGCCATCCTGGATGCATGCCGTCGGTTTTTGCACGATTTGACAATGGGAAAAGAAATACTGCAGGCAGTGAACAACTTTGCTGCCCTGTTTGGCAAAAAAACTCTAGCACCCAACGATATTCAGTATTTAATGTTGTTTTTATTATTTCATTTTGCAGGCCTATTAAGGGAATTAAGGGCTTTTCACGTGAAATTATTGTTGCATTAGTTGCCAACATAGAAAGCAAAGAACAACGTCGATTGGAGTACCAAGCAAGATCACTTGTCCCCCTGAACACCCACGAACTTTTGCCACAGATGATTTGGAAGGCTTCTTTGTTACACTTCACCAGATGCTTGGTAGAACATTCGATCATAAAACGTTTGTTGAGAACTACAGGAAGATTAAGCATGCAGAAATTTGTGAAAAGAATTAACATTGACCTTCCATTTCATTATTGGACTGGGGTCAATGAAAGATTCAACGTGGGACCTATGAAATCATTCAATGAACCACCTGATGGTAAGATTGAGAAATTGGATCGAATCAGCATTTCCCGAAGAGCAGACCCGGGTTTTTTGTGGCGAATAGAGCTTCCCTTTGCCATTTGATGATAACGGAGAAAAAGATTTCCAAACACTGTAAACATCCTGTATGTTGTGAAAATGCCGGTAATTACAGTAGATACCGGTACACTGCGCTGCATAAGTTATTTCGATAAAAGCTTAATTTTATAAGCTTTCTAAGTTATTTTAGGCCAAATAAAAAAATTCTCGGTTTCTCATCGGCGTCGCATTGTGAAGTAGCCGTCGCATTTTTTTCCAATATGTCAGAGCGCCTTAAAGTATTTTCCAGGGTATGTTTTATCTTTATATCGTGTTGTTGTAATTTTTTGCTGTACCCATGCACTTCTGCATGGACAGAACAATATTCTTCAAGAGTTGCTAAAAATAAAACTCTCGCGCCTCATTTACATTTTGAAAAAGTTCTGATGAGAAACCGGGAATTTTTTTATTTGGCCTTAATACAATTTAACTACATGACGTGCCGCATTCTCGACAAATTTTGCAATGTAGATTTTCACGTACACACGAAAACGTATGAAAACAACGTCAGCAAGCAAAAATTTTCAAATAGTGAAAACGATGCCAAAGATTCGTTCTCTATGTCTGAAACGTTTGGTCCTTTGGCTCGATTTAGGACTTATGAAAACACAGTATAAATTATGTTAAATTTAATTTTTTTTCAGCTTTATATGTTCAATATAAATAACTGAATTAAAATAATACTCCTATCTGAAAACAAACGCACGAAAATAAAATAGTGCTCATCATTGAGCTGTGGTTGCAGTTATTGCAATTGTGTGTTTCGATTTCGTGACCTTATATTTGTTTGTTAATTCTTAGAATGTCATATTTTATATATAAAGCAACCCAATTCCTTTTTAGCAACAACCCACGAACAGGCATCCATTTCAAAACAAGAGCCATATTGGTGTCCCTCAGTTGCTAGCACACCAATATGATTCTCATGCATTACCTATATCTAACCTTAACAAACTTTTGAAAAACTCGGCAAATCCAACTAGCGTCACTCGGATACAATAATAATAATAATAATAATAATAATAATAATAATAATAATAATAATCGAGTGCAGTGTTAAAT